CTTTCAGTTCGAGACAGGGGTCGCCTTATTCTGATTCTAGGGAATCTCCAACTAAGTCTTTTGGCTCAAGAGCAGATTCTCCAATGAAATCCAGTGGTATAGGTCCAGAGTCCCCATTGAAAACTGATGAATCTACTCCCACCTCTCCAGAAAAGGGAAGAACAGGTAGGGTAATTGTGTCCCCAGAGAAAATGCCACCAGGCACAAAAACTTCATTTAGGTCCCCAGCTGATTCTGTTGACAGTGCTATGGGCAATGTTGATGATTTAGATATGACATCATCAGGGGCATCACTTACAGGCACGACATCTGTACTAAATGAGAGTTACACTGCTAAGACCAGAACACTTGAATTACCACCAGATGGATGGTACCTTAAGGAAGCTATTACTGAAAAGCTTTATGATCCAGTAATGGGTCTCTTTACCATCCCTGGTACAGACAGGTTAGTGAGTTTTGAAGAATGTGTCAAGATAGGAATAATTGATCCAAGATCAGCAGAGGTAGTTGACCCTAAGAATGGTCGAATTATTGCTTTAACCAGAGCTTTAGACAAGAAGATTCTTGATGCTACAGGAAAGTATCCAGACAGTGAGTCTAACTCCAACAGAAGGCTTACTATGCAAGAAGCTATTACTAAGAAATTTGTAATTCTCAAAGATCGCACAGATTCCCAAGAGTTTGCACCTGGGCGTGTTATTCAGATCACAAGTGTTGAGGGACAGCCAGACAAAGTTCAGGTGTCAGGTGATGCATCAAACATATTTACAGAAATTAAAACTAATGAAGCAGTCGTTGATTCAGCTCCTGTCGAAATTAAACCCGGCATGATGTTTGATCCTACACAGGGCAGTGTTCAGCTGGATGATGGGTCTGTTGTTGATGTGGTGACAGCCGTGAAGGAAGGCAAGATTCAGCCAACTGGAGTTAAAGTAAAAGATCCATATTCTGGACGAGATCTCAATATCAGTGAGGCCATGAGGAAGGGGATCATTGATAAGGAGTCTGGTGAATATAAGGATAAGACTGGTCGCAAGCTGTCCCTTACAGATGCTGCAAAATATGGTGTCTTAGGAATTGCTGCTGTTATAGGTGCCCCTGTTATTGCCGGTGTTGCAGCTGCACAGGCTATCAAGAAGGGTATTAAGAAGGTGAAAAAGATTGATCCTAAAACAGGCACAGAAATTATTATTGAAGAGAGTGTTGAAGTTATTACAGATTCTCAGAGTGAAGAGGAAACTTCGGAGACTGTTGTTGGTAAAAGGAAGGAATCAACAATCAAGTCCACAACAGTTGTAGAGACAGATATTGTTCTTCAAGATCCTGTAACTGGCCGGGAGATGACCCCAGAAGAAGCCTTTGCAGAGGGACTAATTTCTCCAGAAGAATTAGAGGAAATTAAGAGTTCTGCTCAAGAAAGAATTGTTGAGGTACAAGATGAAAAGGTATCAGAAGAGGATATGATTACTATTCCACATGAAAAAGAATATCAAATTCTAGGCCCTGAGGACACCAGTAAAGACAAAGTAGAAGTAGTTTTGAAGGCAGGATCACCAGAGAAGACCCCATCACCCATGAAAGCAGGGTCACCTGAGAAGGCACCTTTACCTGTGAGAGCAGGATCACCTGAGAAGACACCTTCACCTGTGGAGGCAGGATCACCCGTGAAGGCCCCTTCACCTGTGAAGGCAGGATCACCAGAAAAGGCCCCTTCACCTGTGAGAGCTGGATCACCTGTGAAGGCAGGATCACCAGAAAAGGCACCTTCACCTGTGAGAGCAGGATCACCTGAGAAGGCACCTTCACCTGTGAAGGCAGGATCACCAGAAAAAGCACCTTCACCTGTGAGAGCAGGATCACCTGAGAAGGCACCTTCACCTGTGAAGGCAGGATCACCAGAAAAAGCACCTTCACCTGTGAAGGCAGGATCACCAGAAAAAGCACCTTCACCTGTGAGAGCAGGATCACCTGAGAAGGCACCTTCACCTGTGAAGGCAGGATCACCAGAAAAAGCACCTTCACCTGTGAGAGCAGGATCACCTGAGAAGGCACCTTCACCTGTGAAGGCAGGATCACCAGAAAAAGCACCTTCACCTGTGAGAGCAGGATCACCTGAGAAGGCACCTTCACCTGTGAGAGCAGGATCACCTGAGAAGGCACCTTCACCTGTGAGAGCAGGATCACCTGAGAAGGCACCTTCACCTGTGAGAGCAGGATCACCTGAGAAGGCACCTTCACCTGTGAAGGCAGGATCACCAGAAAAAGCACCTTCACCTGTGAGAGCAGGATCACCTGAGAAGGCACCTTCACCTGTGAGAGCAGGATCACCTGAGAAGGCACCTTCACCTGTGAAGGCAGGATCACCAGAAAAAGCACCTTCACCTGTGAAGGCAGGATCACCAGAAAAAGCACCTTCACCTGTGAGAGCAGGATCACCTGAGAAGGCACCTTCACCTGTGAGAGCAGGATCACCTGAGAAGGCACCTTCACCTGTGAAGGCAGGATCACCAGAAAAAGCACCTTCACCTGTGAGAGCAGGATCACCTGAGAAGGCACCTTCACCTGTGAGAGCAGGATCACCTGAGAAGGCACCTTCACCTGTGAGAGCAGGATCACCTGAGAAGGCACCTTCACCTGTGAAGGCAGGATCACCAGAAAAAGCACCTTCACCTGTGAGAGCAGGATCACCTGAGAAGGCACCTTCACCTGTGAAGGCAGGATCACCAGAAAAAGCACCTTCACCTGTGAAGGCAGGATCACCAGCCTTCACCTGTGAGAGCAGGATCACCTGAGAAGGCACCTTCACCTGTGAAGGCAGGATCACCAGAAAAAGCACCTTCACCTGTGAGAGCAGGATCTCCTAAAAAGGTACCTTCACCTGTAAAGGCAGGAACACCTGAGAAGACACCTTCACCTGTGAGAGCAGGATCACCTGAGAAGGCACCTTCACCTGTGAAGGCAGGATCACCAGAAAAAGCACCTTCACCTGTGAGAGCAGGATCACCTGAGAAGGCACCTTCACCTGTGAGAGCAGGATCACCTGAGAAGGCACCTTCACCTGTGAGAGCAGGATCACCTGAGAAGGCACCTTCACCTGTGAGAGCAGGATCACCTGAGAAGGCACCTTCACCTGTGAGAGCAGGATCACCTGAGAAGGCACCTTCACCTGTGAAGGCAGGATCACCAGAAAAAGCACCTTCACCTGTGAGAGCAGGATCACCTGAGAAGGCACCTTCACCTGTGAGAGCAGGATCACCTGAGAAGGCACCTTCACCTGTGAGAGCAGGATCACCTGAGAAGGCACCTTCACCTGTGAAGGCAGGATCACCAGAAAAAGCACCTTCACCTGTGAGAGCAGGATCACCTGAGAAGGCACCTTCACCTGTGAGAGCAGGATCACCTGAGAAGGCACCTTCACCTGTGAGAGCAGGATCACCTGAGAAGGCACCTTCACCTGTGAGAGCAGGATCACCTGAGAAGGCACCTTCACCTGTGAAGGCAGGATCACCAGAAAAAGCACCTTCACCTGTGAGAGCAGGATCACCTGAGAAGGCACCTTCACCTGTGAGAGCAGGATCACCTGAGAAGGCACCTTCACCTGTGAAGGCAGGATCACCAGAAAAAGCACCTTCACCTGTGAAGGCAGGATCACCAGAAAAAGCACCTTCACCTGTGAAGGCAGGATCACCAGAAAAAGCACCTTCACCTGTGAGAGCAGGATCACCTGAGAAGGCACCTTCACCTGTGAAGGCAGGATCACCAGAAAAAGCACCTTCACCTGTGAGAGCAGGATCACCTGAGAAGGCACCTTCACCTGTGAAGGCAGGATCACCAGAAAAAGCACCTTCACCTGTGAGAGCAGGATCACCTGAGAAGGCACCTTCACCTGTGAAGGCAGGATCACCAGAAAAAGCACCTTCACCTGTGAAGGCAGGATCACCAGAAAAAGCACCTTCACCTGTGAGAGCAGGATCACCTGAGAAGGCACCTTCACCTGTGAGAGCAGGATCACCTGAGAAGGCACCTTCACCTGTGAAGGCAGGATCACCAGAAAAAGCACCTTCACCTGTGAAGGCAGGATCACCAGAAAAAGCACCTTCACCTGTGAGAGCAGGATCACCTGAGAAGGCACCTTCACCTGTGAAGGCAGGATCACCAGAAAAAGCACCTTCACCTGTGAGAGCAGGATCACCTGAGAAGGCACCTTCACCTGTGAAGGCAGGATCACCAGAAAAAGCACCTTCACCTGTGAGAGCAGGATCACCTGAGAAGGCACCTTCACCTGTGAAGGCAGGATCACCAGAAAAATTGATACAGATCCTGACTTCACCATACCAAACACAGGGCAAGAGGTTCCTGTTGAAAATGCTGTTGAAAGTGGCTTGCTTCAAATTAAGCCTATGACAACTGTTTTGTCACCAGAAGAAACTGTTATCAGCCAAGAAGTAATAACAGAAACAGTAAGGACTTATGAAACTATTACCACCACCACAGTAAAAGTCGAAACTGGATATATACTTATCAGCCCAACAGAAGTGAAAAATGAAAAAACTGGTGAGATACTGTCTATAGAAGAGGCAAAGAAAAGAGGCATTGTTGAAGATCTTGGCACAGAGGAGTATGAGGAAAAACCAACATTTAGAGAGGCAGCCGAACAAGGACTCATTGACTTTGCTAAAGGAACATTTGAAGATCCCAACACAGGTAATGTTGTTCCAATTGATAAAGCCATTCAGAAAGGTCTTGTGGAGCCCATGGAACCAGCACCTTCTACTGAAGTTACCAGTAAAATCAATATTATGCAGGCCTTTTCAACAATCTATCATGAGAAGTCTGGGAAGTTTAAAGATCCCCAGTCAGGTACTCTGTTAACACTTGAAGAAGCAGTTGATAAAGGAGTAATTGATCCAGAAGCAATGGTCTATGACACAAAGAGTGGCCAGGCATTGTCAACTAAAGAGGCTGTGGATAAAGGTGTAATTGACGTGGAAGCTGGTGACTTTATTGATGCCAAAACAGGATCAAAGGTTAAAGTTAAAGATGCTGTGAAGATGGGTCTCCTTGCAGTTATTGGTGCACCAGTACTGGCTGGAATGGCTGTTAAAGAAGTTATCAAGGTGGCTCATGATAAGATAAAATCATCATCTGCAGAAAAGAAAACTATTGTGACTGAGATCACAGAAGAGTATGAACCAGTTAAGACAGCAGAGGACATGCTTAAAAGACCATCCATGCAATCCGAGGAGGAAGTTTCTCTACCAGTGGTTGAAGTTGGTCAGAAAATGACCTTAAGAAATGCAATGGAGGGACGTTACATTGATGTAGATTTGTGTGTAGTTGTATCCCCCTCCACAGGAAAGAGACAACCTTTAAGGCGTGCCATCATTGAAGAGTTTGTTACCCTTGTGACTGTTATTGAAATCCGCAGTCGGACTGAGATCTGGATTGTTGAGGAAATCACAATCATAACAGAAGTTGTCAGGACTTTGGATCCTAAGGTGATGGCTCAGAAAGGTCAGTATGATCCTAATAGTGGCAACTTTGTTGATCCAGACACTGGTAAAGAGATCTCGTTCCAGCAGGCAATTGAGAATTCTGCCTTCAACTCAGAACTTACAGTAGTAAAAGATCCCACAACTGGAAAGGAGATACCTCTTCAGGAAGCTATTGATAAGGGAATTGTAAGTCCAACAACAGGAGAAGTGGTAGATCCTCAGACAGGGGAGTCCCTCACATTCTTTGAAGCTGCCCAGAAGGGTCTCATTAAACCTGATGAGAAAAAGGAAGTGACAGAAGAAAAATCCATAGCTGTTGCTTCTCTGGATGATGCCATTGGAAAGGGTCTTCTGAACCTAGACACAGGAATGTTTACTAATCCTGGAACTGGAGAATCCATGACAGTTAGTGAAGCTTTGAAGAGTGGCCTTCTAGATCCTGCTACCGTCCATATATATGATCCAAGGAATGAAGATGTAGCCTCCTTGAAGGAAGCAGTTGAAATGGGCCTGATTGACCTAGATTCAGCTAAATACACAGATCCAGAGACAGGTTGTGAGATGGATTTAACGACAGCCTTGTCTAAAGGAATTTTGGTTCCCAAGAGAAAGGCAATGTCCTTGGTGGCTGTGGTAAACAAAGGTCTTTATGATAAGAAGTCTGGCAAAATTAATGATAACATAACCAAACAAAAGCTTGATGTGGATGAGGCTGTAAAGAGAGGTATAGTGAATGCCTTTATCACCCTCTGCAAGGACACCAAAGCAGACAAATACATTACACTTGATGATGCTCTGCTTCTTGATCTAGTAGTAGCTCAAAATGGGAAGTTCAAAAATACCAAGAGCAACTTGTTTATACCTTTGGATGAAGCAGTGAAACAAAAATTAATTGTGACTCACCGTACATCTGTTCCTCTTACTGATGCTGTTCTTGGTGAAATGTATGATCCTACAGAAGGTACATTCTATGATGCTTGTGAAGGTGATGAGTTGACATTGAATGACTCCATGACTTGCAGATTAGTAGACACAAGTGTCTGTAGAGTTAAGATCGATGAGGAAACTTATACCATAAAAGATGCACTTGACAAGTCTATATTGGATGGTGATTCTGGCAGGTTACTTCAGCCAGAAGAGATGAGCCTTGATATAGCAGTGAAAAAGGGTTACTTGATAACTATTGTGGGTACATTCTCATTGCTCCAAATTATTGAGGATGGTCTTTATGACCCAGAAACAGGTCTGATCACTGTAGATGGAGATCGAATTACCATTAAGGATGCCATTGAAAGAGATGTTGTTGATGCTTCATGTTTAACTATAAAGGACCCTCGAACTGGAGAGACCATAAGCTTGGAAGAAGCAATTAAATCAGGCTTGATTGATCCTGTTACTGGTACTTTTAGGGACCCTGTAACTGGTGCCGATGTAGAACTAACAGAAGCATTATCAAAGGGTGTAGTGGTAGAAGGTAAAACTACCTTTACTCTGTATCAGGCTGTGACCAAAGGCCTGTACAATCCAAGCACTGGTCGTGTTACAAGCCCTGTATCTCAAGATCAACTGACTGTTCACAAGGCCATTCGCAGTGGCATTATTGACACCAGCACAACCCTAGCTCGTGATCCCAACACAGAGAAATTAATGAGTTTCAAACAGGCCACTTCAAATGAGCTTGTTGATACAAGAACTGGCATGATAAACTTTGGCAGAATTAAAAAGATGAATTTCAAGGATGCATTTGAGCAGGATTATCTCATGGAGGCTCAGATGCCAATGGCTCTCAGAGTAGTGATCATGAAAGAACTCTATGATGAGGAGAGTGGCAGGTTCTTGAGTCCATCTACTGGGGAGTGGATAACTCTGTCTGAAGCTCTAGAAGTACAGATGATTGATCCGGACTCGACACATGTGAAAGACACGCTTTCTGGCCGCCTTAAGAAGGTTAACATTAGAGAAGCTATTGAATGTGATCTCATTGATGGTGAGACTGCTCTGGTCAAGAACCATCAGACAGGCACCCAACACACTATATTAGAGGCTTATGAACTAGCTCTGATCGTTGACAGTCGTGTTGCCATGTCACTTCAACGTGCCTTGCATCAAGGGTTATTAGATGATGAACAGGGACTCCTAACGGATGTCAACACAGGTAAGAAAATAACCTTACATGAGGCTATGAGACGCCTTGTGATCAACCCAAGCCTTCCGTGTTACTGGGACAGTAATTCTTCAACATGTCTTTCACTAGTGCAAACCTGTAGGGAGGGTATTATTGACCGCCGGCTTGGCAAATTCAATGACCCAAAATCTGGATGTACTCTTACCTTAATGGATGCTCTTGACCATGGAATGATCCTGGATATTGATAAACCGCAGAGTCTGTATGATGCTGTCACCATGGGATTCTGTGATCCTAAATCAGGTAGAATGATACAACCTAACACAGGAAGGAAATTGACTTTAGCTGATGCCTGTAAGCAAAACATAATAGAGCCATCTGTGTCAATTATTAGAGATGCTAGCAAGCCTCGTTTCATGAAGTTGAATATTGCAGTAGGAGAAGGTCTTATTGATGATATTAAAGGGAGATATGTTATGCCTGAGTCAAGAGAAGAGCTCACACTTGAGGAGGCTGTAGAAAAGAAGCTCATAGTTACATCTAAACGACCTCTTACTGTGGAAGAAGCTTTGAGCTATTGCCTGTACACACCAGAAACAGGCCGTTTGGTAGAGCCATGCGTAGGAGACAAACTGGACCTGGCTGAGGCCATTGATCATTCTCTCATTGATGGAAACACAACAGCCCTGAAGAATCCCGCAGACAGTACAATTAAAAGTATACGTGCTGCTGTTGAAGACCAAGATATCGATGTCTCTAAAGGCATGGTCACAGATCCTCAAACAAAGAAATCTTACCCTCTCAATGTAGCCTTCGACAGAGGCCTTATTGTAACTGTAGGCAAGCCCAAAAGTTTCATGCAGGCTGTTCGTGAGGGATCCATAGATTTTGAAAAAGGTACATACACAGATCCAGAAACAGGTATTGAGTATACTCTGGAGGAAGCACTTCGATTTGAACTAGTGGATCCAGATTCTGCAGTGATCAAGGATCCAAGAACAGGTAGATACAAAACTCTGAAGAGAGCCATCCAAGAAGGGCTTGTTGACCTGAAAAAGCGTGCTATGTTTGACCCACAAACTGGTACTCTAAAGACCTTGTGCATAATCTTCGACCAAGGAACTATAGTGTTCCTTAGAGAGCCCTTATCATTTGATGAAGCTATCGACAAAGGCCACCTGAACACAGAGACAGGAATGTTTATTGATCCCAACTCAAAGGAAGTTCTAAATCTTCGAGAAACCTGCCGACTTGGCCTGATTGACCCCAAGACTGTCCTTGTAAAGAATACTCGAAGCAGGCAACTTCTTCAGCTGCCTGAAGCTTGTGAAGTAGGTGCTGTTGATGCTGATAAGGGCATGGTTTATAATACAGCTACTAGTCACCTACTAACTATCGCTGCTGCAATGGACTCTGGACTCATCATCACACCACGCCGTGGATTAGCTCTCTTGGAGGCACTAGATTATGGTCTCTTTGATGAGAAGACTGGGCACTTGCTCAACCCTCATGAGAAAAAGCATATATCCCTGCGAGAAGCAATATCTTGTGGGTTGATCGACAGCACAACAACCATGGTAAAGTGTCCCGCTAGCGGCAGCATCCAAGGCATTGCTGAGGCTACACGTACTGGTTTGCTGGACGATCAGGGTGGTGCTGTGATAGACCCTGCCTCAGGCACTCACTACCCACTACCTGAGGCTCGTCGCCAGGGCTACCTGCTCACCGCACAAGCGCGGGTAAGCTGCACAAATACCTACGCTTGGGGAATGAATCTGCACTCACCGGCTACCATATCCTAATGCTCTTTTTTTTTTATGTAGCAACCCTAGTACTACCATTGTACTGTATTTATTGCTACCGCTAATACATTGTTGGCTGCACAAGTATTTATTCAAGGCAATAGTGGCTTATAGTACTCATCCTATTGGTATCTGTATGAATGACCGCAGCCTAAAGTTAATACAATCTTATATATTATTTTTGCCTGAGGTTATATTTGGTTTTGTTTGGAACTAACCTAAATTTAATGTAAGTACTAAGCCTGCTAACTAAAACTGGTAAACGGTGACTAACCAGTACTTTTTACCTTGTTTTTTCCAGGTTTTTATAGCTCTGAATTTTAAATTTTGGCTGAATATGTGGCTTATTTTTGTAGCGTTAAGGTAGCTTTTAAGGTTCTTATTTTGCTGCACATTATGTTCTGTATTTTTTCTTTTTTCGGTTTTGTTTTGTTTTGATGTATTTTATGACTTTTTATTTTCTATGGCGCTACAGAGGTTTTCTATGTGCCTGCAGCTAAGTCGTTCTATGAGCAAAACGACTTTTCGTGCTGACTGTCATGGATCGTGGGCTTTTGTGACTGCCTGCCCTCCGTGGCTTATGTGACCTCCCAACCATGTGACCTACTGTCCCCCCTGCCCCTATTCCCTTTATCCTTCCCTCCTACACCTTCATTCTACACCTGCACACACCTACACCCTCTTATTCTATAGAGGCTTTACTAACGTTGTTTCTCTCTCTGTCTACATTATTTTGTTATTTTTTTGCTATGTATCGTTTGCTGACCTTGTTGCATCCAAAGCATTTAAAGCATTGTATTTGTATCTTTGTGTTCACAAAGCACGTAGCGTGAAGCTGTTGTGTGTTGTTGTTTTTTTTTATGTTGGCGCAGTTGCAATAACCTCATGTTGTTCATGACTTTGTAATGCTTATGTCATCCTTGTGACCTATAGGGTGACCAATGATGACCTCTAGTGTTTAGAGTTGTGGACAAGACGAGGACAAGCTACTGCGTCATGATCTCTCTTTAACATGTTTGTTGTATGTGCCTTGCAGCAAGCAATGATCGAGAAGTACAAGCAGTGTGATGCTACAATAGTAGACATGATGGACCAAGTGAGTGAGATTGAACGGCGTTTGGCAGAACAAGAGCCAGTCAGCGAGAATGCCAATGGCCTTCGTAACCAGATCAACACTGTTAAGGTGAGAATAGAGATATCGATCACTGATGAGTTGTCTTAATGAAATGAATTTATGAGTAGACGTAAGTCACAGTCCTTATACTAAAACTATATATTGTATTATGCAGGCAATCAAAGATGAGTTGGATGAGATGTTCCGTCCTCTTGGAACCTGCCTGGATGGAGTACGCCAGGTGGTGAACCAGGGTGGCGATGCTCTATCCCGTGAGGAGCTGGAGTCTCTGGACATGGCTGCCACCAGGCTGAAGCAGCGCTATGACAAGTGCGTTGACCAGGCCGATACCACCCACCGCCGTCTGACCACTGCTATGGAGGAGTTCTCCAAGTATGAAAAGGAGATTGCTCTCTTCCAGACATGGTTGAGGCAGGCAACCAAGACTTTGATTGAGAAAGAGCGCCTTTGCTCAGACCTCAATAAAATCAAGAACCATGAGCAGGGATGCCGAGACTTCCTGGGTGATGTTATTGCTCACCAGGCTGACCTCCGCTTCATCACCATGGCCACCCAGAAGTTCTTGGATGAGTCCAGTGTGTACCTCCGCACAGTCAACAACTTCCGCACTTCACTGCCTGAGAGATACCCAGTTATGCAAGCTGATCCCGACTCGGTGGTCCGCGATGCCGCCGATGACGTCACGGCTGAGTTTAAGGATCTGCTAGCCAGAGCCAACAAACTAGTTGATAAGGTCAGTTCACAATACGTAGAGGTACTGCCTAATGCTATAATTGCATCATTTTTTATAATAATGGTTTATATACATTCAGAAGTTTCTTGTGTTGTAACATTTATTTGTGCAATAAAAAAAATCAGGAATAACACTTTATTTATTTATTTTGAATCAGGTTACAAGTGTCGGCAACAAACAGCGTGATTACACTGAATCCATTGAGAAGGCCATTCGCTGGCTGAAGGACACCGATGTCAAGATTACCAGAATCCTTCAGGAACCTGTTGGAGCAGAGCCCAAGAGCGTCCAGGATCAGCTGGACAAGACGAAGGCCATCAACAACGACGTGGTGGCGCAGTCCCGCCTCTTCGACAATTGTCGTGGCACGGCGGCGGCGCTGCTGCGTGCGCTGGAAGGGGAACTCGATGCCAACGAGAAGGACGCTATCGAGCGCCCTCCTGAAGAGCTCTACGAGAGGTACAATGAGCTGGCTGACCGCCTGGCACACCGCTGCCAGGAGCTGGACACCGCCCTGGTGCAGTGCCAGGGTGTGCAGGAGGGCCTGGACTCGCTCATGGCCTGGCTCTCCAGCATCGACTTGCAGCTAAAGTAAGTACAGACGATTGTTTTCCCTGCCCGTGTTCGGTCAGACTTGTTTCCTTGTTTGAAATCGTAGTGTGCTTTAGAGAAGTATATTATTTAGATATTACCAGTGATCGGTGTTCTTGATTAGTCGTTAGGATACTTGATATTTTATTTCTTATCGCAAGCATTAGTGAAGTAGATAAGATGTGATTGATGTAGGTTAATGTGAAGTTTATCCGTTGGTTATTTGAATTGTTATACAGCATAGATTATTAGATTATGATGTAGGGGTTCAAGAAAAAAAAACTTTGGGTTGTGTTGGTTTCTCGTAGCTTTAATGGGTCAGCAAAATTAAAGTCACAGCCTCCATTTTATCAGTTGCCTATTTCCAGCCATTTCATGTTGAGGCTTTGTTCTTGAAAGAGTGTACATTGTTGCTTTCACGAGAGGGTTAGAATACGAGCGAGTGCGGTTCTAGAAAAGCTATTTTGCGGTTAAGGGCGGGATGAGGCTGGATTGATTATTACTCTATTTATCAGGTTTTCGTAAGTTCAAAAGAGGAAGATTATTAGCTTTTTCAGAGAGTATAAGGAAAATGCGAGAAAGTAAATTATTCATAAAGGCCATTTTTATTAATAATTTC